AGAATATTGGTGTTTTCGAGATATAAGATATTATAATCAATGATGCATTTTTTTTATTAAAACAAGTGACACTCACTCATTTAGCCAATTTTGAACAAACTCTAAAATATCATTTGAATACAAAGCTGCAGCGTTATCCCAGGAAAAAAAGTTCTATAGAACTTTCTATAAACTTTTAAAACACATGGCCTATAGAAACTCTATAGAATTTCTATAGAATGTCTATTAATTTCAATATAAATTGCTATAAAACTTTTTTTTCTATAAAAAAAAAATATTGACAAAAAAAGGCTGTAGAAATTTTTATAAAAGTTAACAGAAACTCTTCAAAAATTCAATAGAATTCTATAGAATTTCTATAGGCCATATGCTTCAAAAGTTTATAGAAAATTCTATAAGACTTTTTTCGTGGGATTATATATGTTAAATCTGTCAATAAAGGCTGCAAGTATACGCTTACTCTGTCCTTTAACAGCAAAAAATGCATTAAAATATCCAGCAACTCCAACTTCATCACTCCCCCTAGAATGAAAATCTTTACATGCAGTTTTTATCAATCTTGTGACACATAACTCTGCAGTATTGAATGCAAAAATATTTTCAAAATTACTGATCTCCATTTTTTAAAGCATACCTAACAAAAATTGAAGTGTTTTAAGGTTTGTAATGACTTTATGATAGTTATCTTTTAATTCTTTTACTTCCTTGTTTTGTTTCTTTTTTAATTGTTGAATCTTTACTTGCATTCAATATTTTATATGTCTTTCTTGGATCGTCACGGTATAAAGGACATCAGATTATATATAACTCTTTTTTTGTTAATTTTTAAACAATTTAAATTTAACTATTTGAATTTTAATTTTGTTGTACAAGCTTAAATTACTTAATCAAATAATGAAAACAAATTTGGGAATGGGTTTCTGAAATTAGAGTACACCGTTTCCAAACATTTATCATTCAAGCATAAATACCAATCATATAACTCTATATTATTTATTTAACTGTTACAAATACAAATATTGAAATCAATATATTTAATAATAAAGTAATAAAATAATTTTGTTATATTAGTTGCGGAATTATTTTTGAAATAATATTGAGACGGATTGAAAGGAAGAAGAGGAAGGGATTAAACACCCATGAAAAAAATTTCTATAGAATTTTTACAAACTTTTTGAACATAAGGTCTATAGAAATTCTATAGAAATTCTACAAAGTTTTTATAGAATCTCTGTTAATTTCTATAGATATTTTTATAGAAATTAACAAAGATTTTATAGAAATTCTATAGAATTCTATAAAATTTCTCTAGGCCCTATGTTTCAAATGTTTATAGAAATTCTTTAAAACTTTTTTTCCTGACACGTTTTAACTTAATATTAAAATTGAAGCTGAAGTAACGAATTTCAGTCAAAACTTTTCAAAGTTATTTTAGAACAACCAATTCATCACAAAACCAAGAAAAAAATATAAAAATAGAAAAGTTTATGTATTATTTTAAAGAGTGCTAGAACGCAAATTAAATAATTTTTTGCTAAGATTGTAACAAAAAACTTAATGGTCAATCCTTCCCATTTTTTTATTCATAACAAAATATTGTGTATCTGGAGAATTATATCTATCTTATCCAATCAATTGTTTATCTTATCCAATCAATTGTTTATCTTATCCAATCAATTGTTTATCTTATCCAATCAATTGTTTATCTTATCCAATCGTATCTTGAAAGAATTGTTTATGAGAGCATTTCCCATCTTTTTAATTTTTGCTTTTGCAGTATAACCTGCAATATAAAAGGTAACTTCTCAATTAATTTCTGACAAAGATGCATTATTTAAAGAAAAGAACTGTAGTTTGTCCAAAGGTTTGTTTATATTTTTTTATATTTTGTTTTTTTGACATCGCTATTGGAAATATCAAAGACATCTTTAACTAATATTTTCATTTTGATAATTCGATTTGCGCATAAAAAATTCTGTAAGCTAACAAAAAACCTGCCACCGCTCATCTGTTGGTACTGTCCAAACCTATTTTTTATTGGATAACTTTGAAATCTAGCAACCATGACAAATTTACATCTACCGCTTAAAAGATCTTCAATTAAAGAGGCATGACACTTTTGTGTATGTTAAAATTCTGAACTAGTTTGAGCAGACATAATAAATCTCTCAAATTTCATAATTTTAATTTTTCCCAATTAAAGATAAGTTTCAAGTAACTTAAGTATTTAAGTAGTTCTGTAAACGATTCAATTAAGATTAATTATTTAGTGGTTTAAACAAATCAATTACATATAGTTAATTTATATTAACATAGGTAATTGAATCAACAACAATATATTGAAAGAAAGCAATATATTAAAACAAAATAGTATATTGAAATTTGAATTGATTATTAGTTAAATCAAATACAAGCCAATCATGTATGATTTTTATATATATTAAATATTTTAATTTGAACAACCTTTTACACTACACAATATTATAATTTCTTATTTTCTTCGTTATTAATCAAATTGAGCATAATCTAATTAGTAATAAAGTAGGGGAAGATGTTAAAAGTAATTAACAAAAATTCATCAAGTAACAGTTATAAATTCAAACATTACCATCACGATAGTTTTGTACAGTGGGAGCGAATAGCTGGCACTTCAAACAACTTACGTCATTAATTTTGAAGTTTTAAACACATCTGTATTATCTAGGTTTTAATTAAACATTTTAATTTTACTATTGTAACTGTTCTCTGAAATATTTAATTGAATCTTTTTGTCTAATAACTTCGTTGCATTTTCTGCTCTATAAGGTAGTCGATGAAAATACTCAAAGAACATGAAAATCATTATTTATTAAAAAATACTTGAAACTTTTTTAAAGGTATATTGATGTTGATATTTCATTTATTGATGGTATATTCTATTTATTATGAAGGCAATTGACCAAGGGTATAAATACAGAAATCGTACATGTCAAAAATTATATTATGATCTTCGTGATAAAAGTACTTAAGTCACAAAAAACAAGTTGCAAGAAAATACATTAATAGATTAAAAAAAAAAAAATTATTGTTAAAGTTTATTGTTATAATAACTCAAAATCATTCTTTGCAGGGGCGCCGCCAGCATTTTTTGGTCTTTGAGATAGCTAACTTCCAGAGATGGAGCAAACTCCTAACATTTATATGTTTATACTTATGTCAAATAAGGATGCTTTGCAAAAAATTGCGATGATTGGAGCTCGGGAACAAAAAAACCCGAGAATTCCCCCCCCCCCCTCTGCCCCACTTATATTCATAGATAAATTTTAAATTTCATAGCAAAATATTTTAGCGTTCAAAAATTATGACCATACAAAGTTTAAACTCTATTTAAATTGAGGGGGTTGCAAATTTTATATTGACATAATTTTTGAACGCTGAGAGATAATACTATGAAGCTTAAAATTAATCGATGAACCAAGTTAAAAATAGTAACCAAGTTAAAAATAGTACAAAAAATATTTCATCAACTTGTTGCTCCCACGTTTTGGGCAGGGGGTGAAAAATTTTTGGTTCCCAAGCTGCAATCATCGCAATTTTTGCAAAGCATCCTTATTTGACATTAGAATATGTATAAAAATCTTTGGAGTTTGCTCCATGTCTGGAAATTATCTTAAAGACCAAAAAATGCTGGTGGCGTCCCTGGTTATTTGGAGAAATTTTAAAACTTTTAATACTAAGTTGTTTAAACAAAAAAATGTATTTTTTTTATATGAAATCAGATTACTTTCTGCTTCGATTTATTTTTGGTAAATTGCTCTTAATAAGTTTTACAACTAAATGAAAAAACACGTCGATCATATTTTATGCTTCTGAAGGTACTTTCTTTTTTTCAGCCATCGATTTCTTTTTTTTTTTTTTTTTTTCTTTTTTTCAGCCATCGATCTTGCCCACTCGTTTATTATCAGTAAGTATTTGCTTATCACAAACAGCAATTAAAGGCACAATTGGAGTTTGGTGGCTGCTAACCCAAGAGTAACTCATTTTTAAGTCAGGAATTAACATACATCTATAACAATAACTAAAAAAAAAATTCTGTAGGAGCACTATTCCGACAAAAAATACAAAAAAACTTTTACAAAAAACTAGATGACACTCTACTTAAAGCATTACATGCTTTGCTTGTTAATGGTTCTTACCTTTAGATGTTATCTAATATAATAAATCTCTTAAAACATTTTGTAATAGCATGTTAAAAGAGAAAAAACATCTAAAGACAAATTTCATCAGGAAACCAAAGGAATATTCTGTTTAAGAAAAATGCTGCTTTTGTTTGAATTTTATTAATTAGTTCGTGCATCATAAGACTTCTTTTCTTATTCTTTTACATCTTTTTAATAAAGAAAATTTTTTACTTTATATTATTAAACTTAATTAAAATATATTAATTACTCCAAGTACAAAAAACGCTATCATAACCTATGCGGTAACTGTAAAATTCATGATGCAACATGACCTATGAATAAAAAAAACAAGGTTAGCCCATCGTATCCCATAGATCATAGAATTTCAATGGAATTCTACGGGATTCTATTGGATTTTCATGGAGTATTTCCGTAAGAGCCAGTACTCTAACCACAGCAGCCGTGGCGCAGTGGTTAGAGTACTGGCTCAGAACCCAGAGGTCCGAGGTTCGACGCCAGCTCCAGCCCAAAAAGCGACATTGGTACGGAAGGAGGCGTGAACTTCCTATTAAATGCTCTCCCGCGGTGCTCTATGATAAGACCGTAAGGATTTCTGGGAGCACCTAAATACATACAAAAAAAAAAAAAAAAAAAAAAAGAGAACTTACTATATGATGTTACAATGTAAAGCTCACTTCTGTGTTTGTTTCTGATGAGTAGCGTACAATGAATTATAATAATCAAAAGTTTTTTCAAATCAAAGTTTTTTATTATATATTGTATATTGTAACTAAATTTGTATAGTTATTTATTGTATTTATGTTTCATTTATTTCTTAAGGTGCAAAAAATCTACATTGATTCTTTTTTAAAATTTTCTGCGGATTATGAGATTGATACACTACCACTTGTATTTGGAAAAGAGGTTATCTCAGTAATAACAACTATTCATTGTAATGGATACTCAGATGATAAACCTGTAAAGTTTTTCAAGCGAATGGCTTTTAATAGAGTTCTCGAATTATTAACACAGAAAGGTTTTTTCAAGTATTTTTGATTTATTTGTTTTGTTTTATCAACCATTTAACCGTATTTAATTTTATAATCATCTTACCATAGCAACAATACAAGTCTACCCAAAATTAAATATAAAAAATGAAACAATGTTTCAAAATCAGACACATGCGTGTGAGTGCATGCCTATTGAAAAAAGGTATTTTTTAAATGTATTTTTTTAACTGTTTTTTTCCAAGATATAAATAGAGTAAAAAAAAATCAAATCTGCTAAAAAAAAATTTTTAACAAATATTAAGATACATGTTTAACATCATAATAATATAATAAAAGTTATTAGCAACAGTAGAGTCGTTGATAATGATTGATGTAGGAGACACATTTTCGTTTATTTCTCACGCACATAAAGCTATTTTATAGACCATGTAAATGCAAATAAAACTACAACAATTCATTTTGTATCCTTTGTTCATTTTACGAAATAAATGTATAGTTAAATCAATACGATAAATAGTATTACGTGGCGATTGGCATGATACGGACAAAACTGAAGAGATTGGGAGAACATAGTGTCATCGTTATCACTAGAGATGTTACGGATATCTGGAAATCGGGATAGTAGTATACTTATTCTTCTTCTTCAGAAACTTTATTGACTATGGTATCCCTTGCAATAAATGATGTGAGAAGATTCTCATACCACGGCCAAAGCTCTTTCTTCTCCTGGATGCTAATTGGTAATGGTTTATTGTATAACAACATCCCAGTAAGCACAAGACGCATTTTAGACACTTATAGACGTCTAAAACTAGTCTAGGTAAAGACGCACTTTTATAGACGTTTTGAAGACATTTTCTAGACGTCTTTAATAAATGCGCTTTTAAAATGACGTTTAAAATGCGTCTTTTTAAAGTTTAAAAAGACGTTTAAAAGACGCATAATAAATAGTCTAAAAGACGCATTAAAAGACGTCTAGATCAAGGCTAAAAGACGTCTTTTCTGTGACCTGTTTATAAATATGTCATTATGACTTCTTTTTGACGGCTTTGTCATTACGCGTTAAGAAGATGTCGTATATTCAAAGTAAAAACATAGTTTTTATTATTTTCAATAATTTGTTCAAGTTTTAAGTGTAAATTACTTTAAATTAAATTACTTTTTTACACAATTGCTAAAATTGTTGTCACAGGAATCACTAAAATAATTGCTATAATATTAATATATCTTTTTTTTATTAATAATTATTTTGCTTTTTTAATAGATAGTTGACTGATCATGATAATAAGTGAAAATGGCAAGAATAATATATAAGTTAAATATCAGTATTTTTAGTTTTTATACACCCACAAGCCATATAATAAGTCAAGTATGCGGTCAAAAATTAGCTATTAATATATATGTTATATTTTATTATAACTAAAAATATGTTATAAATGTTATAAACACTGTTTTGATATATACTTGTTATTGTTTTTTATTATTTTCATCTTTGATGCATCAACCGTTGGTGGTGATTACAGCAATATTATTTTGACTGCTTGTTCATATGTATATTTGGTATAAACGAAATTAAAACAATATATGATGTTATAAATACAATGAATATATACCACATACTACGCAAAAGTGTTACGTCATGTACTTGAAAAAAACATCTAAAATACGTCTAAAACGCGTTTTTATAAAGACGTCTTCATTTAGACGTCTTTTAGCCTTATGATCTAGACGTCTACAAGTGCGCCTTTTAGACCTCCTTAAAAACATCTTTAAAACGTCTTTTAAACGTCTTTGTGCTTACTGGGATAATACAATTCACTTTTAGGGTCGTTTTTACCAGAGGTTTTGTTTCTTAAGCTTTGAATCGGTTATAATGGTTTTATATTTGTTCTTATAGTATTATTCTTACGGAATAACATTCGGAAAATCTTCTTTCTAATTTCAAGCTATTTATTTTAAGCCAATTTACAACTTTCCCATTATCATTGTTATTTTTATTCCATACTGTATTTTAAACTAAATTCTTATAGTTCATGAAGTTACTGAAGCGTACTTCCTTACTGTTGGGTAATATTTTTCATTTGCCTTTGAAATGGCAACAATGCAAAACTGTAAATGATAACAAACAATACCAGCTAACGCCTTCAACAGCCAATGTTTAATGTACTGAAAATATATTATAGATAGTAATCAGTAACTGAAATGTATTTCAATGGATATCGGAATTTCTTTTTTCAAATGTTTACGGTGTAAACAGTATAGAATTTAAAATTTAATTTTAGAACTATCTGATTCCTATTTTTTTTAATTTCCTTTATATTAACTAATGCTGCAGTGGACCTTATATAAGGTTCCTTCACCATAGTTTAGTTGTCAAAACGTCAGTTCAATGTTAATGCCACAAATTATTTTGTCACTAAAGGTACTGAGAAAGCCAGTAATTCCATTATGCAATCAATATTTTACAGGAGAGCACCATATACAGTAATTGGTTTTCCTCCTGTAGATAATTGTTGAATTTGTGACATAGTCGAAATAAAAAGCTGTGATAACTGATTAGCATGCTCACTTATAAGAATTTGCAGATTACCAAATGGTAGAGAGTATGAAATACCACAGAGTGGTACAAGTAACTCGATACTGTCAAAAATGAACTTAATGTGGCCAGGTATGTGTGGCCTGGTATGCCTGTAATATAATAGCTAAGTTATTTATTTTTGATTTCGTTGCTAAGTTTAGTTTATTAGTTTTCATAACTTTTCCATAATCAGTTATACGATAGAAAAAAACAAACGAGAAACCACAAAATTAACCTTGTTTAATAATGCACCTTATGTATAAAAGTGAAAGCTTTAAAAAAGAAGTTTTTTCAATCAAAGCATATTTTTAGTTGATGTTTTAAAAATATAAATTGTGTAATAACAGGTGCGATTAAAGTATTTAAAAACATTTATGTAACATCTTTTATGTTATTTGAGTCAGCGGAGGGTCAATTAGTTGTCGTGACGCAGTGGCTAGAGTTTTGGCTTAGAACCCAGAGGTCCGTAGTTTGATGCTGACTCAAGCCCAATAAGCAACATTGGTAAGGAAGTGAACTTCCTATTTAAATACTTTTCCGCAGTACTCTGCGATAATACCGTATTTAAATACTTTTCCGCAGTACTCTGCGATAATACCGTATTTAAATACTTTTCCGCAGTACTCTGCGATAATACCGTATTTAAATACTTTTCCGCAGTACTCTGCGATAATACCGTATTTAAATACTTTTCCGCAGTACTCTGCGATAATACCGTATTTAAATACTTTTCCGCAGTACTCTGCGATAATACCGTATTTAAATACTTTTCCGCAGTACTCTGCGATAATACCGTATTTAAATACTTTTCCGCAGTACTCTGCGATAATACCGTATTTAAATACTTTTCCGCAGTACTCTGCGATAATACCGTATTTAAATACTTTTCCGCAGTACTCTGCGATAATACCGTATTTAAATACTTTTCCGCAGTACTCTGCGATAATACCGTATTTAAATACTTTTCCGCAGTACTCTGCGATAATACCGTACTTAAATACTTTTCCGCAGTACTCTGCGATAATACCGTAAAAAACTTCTGGGAGCACCATAATAACTACAATAAAAATTTTTTTTTTTCAGTTTAAATAACGTGGTTTTTTTTATCAGAACATAATAGATTTGAAACAAAATGTATAAAAAACAAAAACTTCAATTTATAGAACTCTAACTCTAGGGTAAGCTAAAGTTGATGTAAGTCGAAATTTTTTTTATTTAGACAGCAAAGTCTATGCTTCCAACTTGAAAAAAGTACTGGCAAAATTATATGTAAGTATTGCTTGTTATATATTTGATGCAGTATCTGCTAAACTTTCTATCCTTTTTATGTTTGAAATACGATGTTTGAAATTTTTTCTTTTAGATTTTCCGATTCACGTGTTAGAAATTATTGGTTACGAACCCTTGACAAATATTTTTTACGGAAAAACATTTCGAGAAAATATTATTCAAGTTGATATTTATGGTAAAAAACCTGTCGTTATAATAACAGAAGATAAATGGTTATCTGTTATGAGTTCATCTAGTTTTCAAATGAAAAGATAGTAAAATAAAATAAATTAAAAATTAAAATTCCAATAGTATCTTTATGCAAAAGTTATTCATTTTATTATTATAAAATTATTATTGCAAAATATTGCGATAGTTTTTGATTCAAAAAAGTAGTATATCAAAGTCAAGAGTATATGTCTGATGCAAATGTATAAAAGTAAATTTTTAGCTTTAAATGCATTAAACTTTTATATACTCATATATACTATTGAAATTATCGTTTCAATAGTTTACTCAAGGATGCGGAGTACTAAAAAGGCCTCAGGATTTGAAAGTCACAACAAGATTACTTCTTTCTAGTTTTTGGTGTCCAGGAGCACAAAAAATATAAAAGAGTTTATGAAGACTAATAAGAAAACAAAAGACTGTTAGTTAAAGAAACAATCAATTTTTAGATCGGTAGTCCATCGGTATAATGGCGGCAAGAACTTATAAACAAGGAAGTTCCTTGTTTATAAGTAAATAATTAAAATAAAATTTCAGTCATAAAATATTTTTTTTTTTTTTTTGTTCTTACAGCATACCATAAGTCAATCAACATGCTTAAAGTATTTAGACAGTAGAGACCAAAAAAAAAAGAGATATTGAGCGGGAGAATAATGCCGGAGTTTCTTAGGGACACTAAATTTTACTGACTACAGCAATAGATAAAATTAAATTTACATTGACAGAAGTTTTGGTTGGGGCATTATGGTTACAAAACGGACAACTTTTACATACTCAACTATGATCAAGATTGCGGTTCACAAAAAAAATTTGCTTTTTACTTCGTGCTGTCACTCTAATGTTAACATTTATGTTGGTTGTTTTTTTAAAGAAATTAAATTATTGGGGGGTTCAAGACTTTCCCTCAGCGTAATAAACTTTAAATTTTTTTTGATGATGCTTATATACTTTTAACAAAAAAATAATAATGTAGCAAAAAAGATTATTAAAACTTAAAATAAAATTTTAAAGTTTTCTCATTTTATAGATATATTATACGCGATTATCTCTATATACTTAATGTATAATCTATATAATGCATGCAAACTCTAAGTCGTTTACACTTACAAACGTTTGTACGTAACGCTATACAAATAAAACTTAGAAGATCTTAGACCGCTAAAACATAGTCATAAAAAAATGCATTCTAAGGAATATTATTAAAAACTAAAGAATAATAAACCGGTTTTTGCATTTAATCTGGTGGATTTTTGCACAAATCTGGTGGTTTTTTTCATTTAATCTGGCGGTTTTTTATATTTAATCTGGTGGTTTTTCTTTATTATGATAAATAGTTTTGTTTTTATTGCTTCATTTAATTTAAGTTCCTTATATTCAATTTCAGCCCGTTTTCTCTTCAATTTTTTAAAAATCTAAAAAATCTAAAATGAACGCACAAAGACAATGCTCAGAAATTAATGTTGAAACAAGAAATTTGATCATTATTCTTGTAATTAACGAAAGGAAAAGTGTAAAAGAAGTATCGGATATCGTGCATAAAAGTGAGACAATACGACGCCTAATCCATCGACATATATCAACAGGGAATATCATTCCTGGTATTAGAGGTGATTTTCGACAGTCAGGTTGACTGAAAAAATTAGAAATAGGCAACATGAGTTAATTGAATATAACAAAAGCTATGATCTACAGGAGATAAAGGTAGAATTGGGAATTGATGTCAATGTCTCTACATTATGGCGATGGTTAAAAAAATTGAATTATACAAACAAAATGTTAAGACCCATTCACTAAAAAGTCTTAAAATTTTGTTTGTATTATTCAATTTTTTTAACCATCGCCATTAGTTCTTTAACCATCGCCATTAGTTTTTCATATGAAATTCATTTTACCTCGATACTCACCTTTTTTAAATCCTTGTGAAGAAACATTCTTGAAAACTAAGTATACTACAAGAATACATTCTTGAAAACTAAAAATACTACAAGAAGACAAATAGCCTCGATTAGAAATAACGATTTGTTAGAGCGAAGGAGGAACGGTTGTGAGCATGTTCCCAGCAAACATGTCAGCGTTGAATTAACGTTGAAAACCGGTCGCAAAAGATGTTGCGGAAACGTTGACAAAGTAATTGATTTTGCAAAGATATGTAACGTTGTTAAAGAGACGTTGATTAAACGTTGTGCGTAACGTTGAAAAATCGTTACTAAAAGACGTTACAAAAATGTCGCAACTAAACGTTGAAAAAGCGTTACTTAAAAAGCGTTGCATAAGCGTCGCAACTTAACGTTGAAAAAACGTTACTTGAAAAGCGTTACTTTAACGTTGTTAAAGCAGTTGATTTTGCAAGGATTTGTAACGTTGGTAGTAAAACGTCGAATTAACGTGACTCAAAGACGTCGAGTAAAGCTTGAAATATAACGGTTAAATCAACGCTCAAATGCGCTGGAGAAAATATCGCAAAATACTATTAAACGTGATTAAACTTGGCTATAATGTATATTGAATTTGCAAATAAAACAAAATTGTATGTTGAACTCTGCACTTGCAATATTTCCAAAGTCGATTTTTAATACAAATAATAATATACAATGAAAAACATAAAAAATATACAGTTTATTTATATAAAATTTACAATTTATAAATAAAAATATAAACATCTTTTTTAAGATTAATGTGTGTGAGTGAATTTATTGGATTAACGTGTGTGAGTAAAATTAATGTGTATGAGTGGATTTACAGGATATCGTATCGATAAGCCAGGATATCATTGAGATACAAAATCTAAATCAAAAAATAAAACTTGAATCATTATCAATCTGAAAGCAAATGTTTAAAAGATGTTACTGAATTAGTATGATCATTATTAAATTTAAAAAGTAAAAAAAAAAAAAAAATATATATATATATATATATATATATATATATATATATATATATATATATATATATATATATATATATATATATATATATATATATATATTGAGATCGTCGTAATAGCATAAAATAAGTAATTGTTTTTAAAAATAACGTTTTTTATTCTTGAAATGTTTTGTAGTAAACAACTGGGGTTGATATTTGACTGGGGCCGGGGCCAGGTTTGATAATATATAGCCGGGGCCAGGTCCGGGTTTGAGACCAGAGTGCATAAACATTTATACATACTAAAGTATATTTTTTAAATTTAAAATCCACAATTTTTGTTAGACAACAAAATTAATTTATTTACTACAAAAAAATATTGCAATATTGTTGGTATTACTATATTGACAAATAAAAACCCTATAATTATTATTATATATTATATAATAATAATAATAATAATATATAATAATAATATATATAATAATAGCAATAATATATATATATATATATATATATATATATATATATATATATATATATATATATATATATATATATATATATATATATATATATATATATAAATTTTGCAACTAAAAATAGTCATGTATCCATACATTAATTAACTAAATAAAACTTACTTCAATAGGTGTAACTATAAATCATCAATTTAAATCATATTATGTACTTCGTTCATAAGATGCAAACCAGTTAAAACCAAATCATTCCTCTATCTTTGATCCACCAGAACTTTACTAAATAAATTTATACTAGTAATCAAACTACCACAAGTCAAAACATTTAGACAGTATTATTGAAATCAGCTTTGACCAAAAGTTATTATTAGATTTTTTTTTTCTTTACTATATAAAAAACAAAGAAAAGTTAAATCCGAAGAAAAACAAAATTGTTCACAAACATAATTACTTACATTCTTCTTTGGAGTCCTCTTTAGCCGTGAAATTAAATCCTGCACATACTTCTTTATCTATTAGTAATTATTTAGTAAAATAAATATAAACAAAATTATGTAAAAACAAAAATATAGAATAAGTGTAAACAGATTACTATATATATCTAGGCAATAATAATACCATAAACAGATTCAAAATATTACTTATTCCGAAATAAAAATAAAATAGTTTATTTGATAAAGTACTTCACCGTTAATATAAAACTATAATAGTTTCTTTATTCCTATAAAACTGAAGTTGAGCCAACAACACCTAAGCAGCCCGAATTTGACGATAATTCGTCATCATCTGGCAGTGCAAGTCGCCGAAATACTCCTGTCTTTGACTCAAAAAAGAAGCCACAGACTCGTAGAGCTACAGAGTTGTTTGGTATAGGTGCTGCAATCTGTGCTGATGATGCACTAATCACTGGTATCCGATTGCCAACCTGCTTGCAAGTTTTGAGATGCATGATGTATCACAGTAAAGAGGCTACCCATGGTAAGCGACCAGGATCACTCGGTGCAACATCAAGATTCACATCTGCCAAGATAGTTCTGAAACAGGTTAAAGCTTTGTATGAAAAAGCCAACATCCCAATGGTCACCGAGCGTAGAGCATGCGAAAAAATAGTGAAACTTCTTAATGATAACAATGAACTTCGTTCGATCGATAAAAGTCGCCGTGAAACACCTGCAACTCAGCACAAGCTTCTTGAGATGCAGTCCATGTTGGCAACAACTTTCCAACTCTGGCCGGCCAACGTGGATAGTCTTATGAACAATGATGAAGATCTTGCATTCCTGCAGTCAATAAAAACTGATAGAGCCGCAAGTTTTGGGGTATTTGACAAGGCGCTTGCTCAGAAGATAAATCAGCGTCATTGTCGTGATGTTGCAGCATTAGGACGCCTGAAGCGTGCTCGTGGTGAAATTGAAGCATCAACCAAGACTGTGTTGCCAGAAGTTGTAACTGACGAATGTAGTGATGAGTCAAGCGAGTCTGCTTCTGAAGATGACATGGAATCAGAATTTAGATCTTCATCAAAAGAAATGGAGCTACAAAAACCAAACCGTATAAAACCGAAAGGAACATTGTCATTCATACCACCAGATTTGCTAAGCCGACCAAACCTTGTGTCATTAGCAACACGTCTGAAGATGACGCCAACACAACAATCTGCATTCACACAAGGAGTCATAGCTGAGTCTGGTGGCGATGTATCTATGGTTGCTTCTTCGTATGCAACTGCAGATCGCGCACGACACAAGGTTGTACGCGAAATTTCTATAGAAATTCACAATAGCTGGGAACCACCAAAACTCTGTTCTCTGCATTGGGATGGAAAGCTGACACCAACTCTAACAAATAATCGTGTCACTGAAGAACGTATGACGGTGGTTGTTGGTGATGCATTGCAGTTGAAGCTACTGGGAGTGCCTAGTTACTTCAAGGGTACAGATCGATCTGTTGGAGAAATCATAGTCAAGCTAACAATGAACCTAATGATCAAGTGGCATTGTAATGATTGAATTGTTAATATGACATTCGACACAACGAGCTCAAATACAGGTCACCTAACTGCAGCTTGCATTGCCATTCAAGATAAGCTGAAACGTGCTGTCCTCTGGTCAGGATGTCGTGATCACATTGGTGAAGTACTTCTATCTCACGTGTTTACTGACCTCAAGATAGAAGCATCAAAGTCACCAGAAGTCACAGTGTTCACAAGGCTACGAAGTAACTGGAATTTAGTGCTACACGACTCATCTCAGATACTGCCATTTTGTCCAACTGATCATGACGTGGAAACCCAACAGCTGCTGTCGAAGATGAAGGATGAGGTGATCGCTCGTGCAATTGAAGATGTAGATTGTCTGCGTGATGACTACCGTGAATTCACAGAGCTCACACTTGTTTATTTATCTTCTTCCAAGGTTGAAGTAAAATTCCGAAGGCCAGGTGCTCTTCACAAGGCTCGTTGGATGGCAAAGCTGATCAACGGCCTGAAAATTGCACTTCTAGAGAAACATATTGCGAAACTACCAGCAGGAACTATCACTACTCGTCACCAAGTACCGAAGATACGAGCATTCACTACGTTTATTACTCATGTTTACAGTGTGTGGTGGCTCACATGTAGGAACACGGTTTATTCCCGTTACAATGATTTACAGCTTTACAAACGTTTACTAGAGTACGAGACTGTGGACAAGGTGATTTTGCAGTCAGCAGTTTGAGCTCTGAATCGGCACCTGTGGTATCTCACTGAGGAAATGGTGCCACTTGCACTGTTCAGTAAGCTTGTACCATCAACGGAACGACGAGCTCTTGCAGATGCCTTGCTCAAATTGAAACCATCAAGTGAACTGCAAGCTCCAATGAATCAATTTGGCAACGGATGGGGCAAGCCACATTTTCCATTGTCCATTGATCATAGAACACAACTGAGTGATCTGGTTGGAGTTGACTCCTGGTTTACAGTTTACCGTCTACAATTAGACGCCAGCTTTCTAAAACTTTCGGTCGATGAATGGGAAAAGACCCCTGCTTACATTGCCAGTGTTGAAAATTGTGCAGCAGTGAACGTGGTGAATGATTGTGCCGAGAGGGGTGTCAAGCTGGCATCGGACTTTGTTGAAACTGCACGATTGGATGAGCATTATCAAAACGTTCTTCAAGTGGTCGAGAAAGATCGGAAAGAGACACCAAATTTGCGACGCAAACGATGCAAGAAGGAATAAACATTACCAGTTCATCTAATTTTGGATTCATTTGACATCTTTCTACTACTATTAAAACAAATAAAGATTCATTACTATAGTTAATTAGTCATTAATTAGACCTTAAACTGCAATGAGGATTGAATTTTATTAAAAAAGAACTGACTATTAGTCATAGTAGTCAATGATTTTTGCATTTTTTGATTAATGATTTTGTGCTTTTTGTAGAAAAAATTGAATAGAAAATGATTTTAGTGATCTCAATTTGGTTTTATCTGTTCAGTTGCCTTCATTATACAATTAAAACAATTTAGGTTTATTACTATAGTCATTATTCTCATTAAAGGACAATAAGTATTGAATTTTATGAAAAAACTTACTAGTCGATCGACTTTGTGTTTTGCGGTTGGTTTCCTGGATTTCAAATTCTCATGGGGGACCTCTAAACTTACTCAGATTTGGAAAATATTTCACTCAAGTTATTATGTATGTATGTATGTATGTATGTATGTATGTATGTATGTATGTATGTATGTATGTATGTATGTATGTATGTATGTATGTATGTATGTATGTATGTATGTATGTATGTATGTATGTATGTATGTATGTATGTATGTAAAGTGATAATTTTTAAATAAATTAAAAAATTTATTCTGTTAACAGACTTAATTTAGTCTGGCTTATTATATTTTATTAATTTTGATAATATTTTATAAATGTGAATCGTAATAAAGTACTGTTTTTAACTAAGAAATAAGTATTTTAAAAAGTTGAGCATTTTATTAAAATCGTCAACTTAAAACAAAATAAAACATTGACAAAAATAAGCTGAATAAATCGAATTTACCCTGAGATGTGTGTACTTTATATACATTTTGATATAAAATCTAAAAGTTTTAAATTAGTCGCAATAAAATAGGCTATAAAACATAACTTTATTTAAAAAAATTTATTCCATATGCATGCATTCTATCAAGTTTTTGTTGCCTTTCCATTACGGCAAACTATTTTTGTAAACTTCCTCAACATTGTTAAAACAACGTTTTATTAACGTTGGCAAAGTAACAATCGTAGGTACAATCGGCAGAGCAGAGCAGATTGGCAGAGCAGATCATTGTAATGTTGATAGCGGCAGAGCAGATTATTCAATCAGCCGTTTTCTAATGTGTGATCACACATTCAAATATTATTTGGCAGATCAAGCATTATCAAAATATAATTTTTCAGATCACAAAATAGAAAACGGCTGATTGTCTATCTGTGATAATCTGCTCTGCCATTATTATTATTACAATGATCTGCTCTGCCAATCTGCTCTGCCGGTTGCATTATGATCTGCCGAAATATTTGGCAGATCACACTTTAGAATACGGCAGATCACTTTTTTTTTGGAAAATAATGCGACAACAAAAAACGTTTATGTATAAAAAGTAAACTCATAGTTCTTTTTATTCGAAGTGCATCGTTTTTCGTAAAAATATTTGGCAATCACATTATAAACATTCACGATGCGATTAGTGAAGAAATTAAATCTTTCTTGACAGTTTTTTACCCTTTGGCGTTCGAATCGAAGATAATGTCCACGTAAATTATATTTGTAAAATCATGGTGCGTAGACTTGAGGGTTATAAAAAATAATTTGATCAATACCTTTTGAAATTTTAAACTGTTGAATCAGATCACCTTGAACTCTCCTTTCTTTAAGAGTAGTTAAGCCGGGATGAAAAAGTCTTTCTTTATATGGCTAATGCTTAATTTCCGATATTGTTTTAGTTGCTTTATGCTGTACTTGTTATAGAATAGCAATGTCTTTTTCATTGTGTGGTGACCAAGCCTGGAAAGCAAATTTTAACTCGGGTCTTATATATTTTTTGTAGAGTACTTTCCACAAAAAGAGTCCACGACTAAAAATTTTCTTAAGTCTACCAAGTTTACTGTTGGCTCTTGCTGCTGCTGATTCGACTTGATAGCTTACTTTAAAATCGTCTGATAGAAGTACTCCCAGATCATGTTTGTGTTTAGTGACGTCCAGTTGAATTCTGATTCCACTCTAATCAAGCATTGAATAAGTTTGAGTAGATTTAGAGTAACCACGCCCAACGTGCATAACTTTACACTTACCGAAGTTGAGAGGCATATTCCATTTATGCGAATTATTTCCTTAACTAATTTTTTTTGATACCATTTAATATATGGTATAAAAAAAAATTAGTTAACATATGATATATGTTTAAGTTGCATATCCTTATATCATAAGGAAAGGTCTATAAGAACTTCCTTATGCTATAAGGAAAGGCCATTAGACTTATCCATTAAAAAAAAATATTGCATGATTTAATATGCTTTGAGGTCATTTAATAACGAATTTAAAAAATAATAATTGATTAAATTTGTTTAAAATGATATTTAATTTCTCATAATAATGACTATTTTTAAAACAGGTGTATTATGTTTTTAAATTGAGTGAATATAGTCAGATTTTTATAATAATTTAA